CCCCCCCCTTGATCACGTGATAGCCCCGTGGACGCACAGCTCAAACCGGCAGTATAACGAGCGACAAGCGATAATTACAGTAGTTTGACAATCAAGACTGGAACTGAGCAAATATTATGTACATCCTAACAACATAAGCTACGTCAAATAACAATATAAGGCAATACATTTGCGATTTAGCTATTATCGCAAATATAAGCAATATAAAATTATATGAAATGATAATATACATTATATATATACATAATAATCATTGTAACCCATTCAGGGGTTGCAACAGCATCCCAAGTTTTGAAGGTTCTCATTATCCATCCTGTCATTTTTCTAGCAGATGCGATTGATACAATGTTGTGGTTTTTGAAAATGAGATCCTCTGACATTATCACTCCCAGGTCTTTTACATTAGTTTTTCACTCTGTTGTGTGGTTAGAACTTGTTGTATACTTCGATATAGTTTTAATTTCCTTGCATTTTCCATATCAAAGTACTGTAATTGAAATTTCTCATCATTGAACTTCATATTGTTTTCTGCAGCCCATTTAAAGATTTGGTTGATGTTCACCTGGCGTCTTGCAGTGTCTTTAATGGAGGACACTGTCATGCAAATTCTGGTGTCATCTACAAAGGAAGACACAGTGCTTTGGCTTACATCACTATCTATGTCAGATATGAGGATGAGGAACAGGGTGGGAGTGAGTGTTGTGCCTTGAGGAACAGAGCTTTTCACACTAGCCACCTCAGACTTTACTCTGTTTACTACTCTTTGTTTCTATTTGTTAGGAATTATAGATTCATCTACCAGCTTTTCCTGTTATTTCTTTATCATGCATTTTGTACACTATTACATCATGGTCACACTTGTCAAAGGCTTTTGTAAAGTCTGTGTATACTACATCTGCATTTTGTTTGTCTTCTAGAGCATCCAAAACCTTGTCATAGTGGTCCAGTAGTTGGGACAGGCAGGAATGACCTGCTCTAAACCCATGTTGCCCTGGGTTGGTAACTGATGGGTATCTAGATGAGTGGTGATTTTGCTTCTTAGAACCCTTTTTAAAGATTTTTATGATATGGGATGTTAGCAGTATCAGTCTGTAGTTCTTTGCTTTACTGTCCCCTTTGTGGAGTGGGGGTGTCTGTTGTTTCTAGCAGCTGTGGGATGACCCTTGTGTCCATGCTCCCTCTCCTTAGGATGTCCCAAAAACGCATGATAGGGTTTCTTGCAGTTCTTGATGAACACAGAGTTCCACGAGTTTGGGCCTGACTAGTAGTAAAATACAGCATCTATATTTGGTTATCTTGTTAGTCTCTGTGAACTACATGTTGAATTACTTTCAGTTTTGTACTTATTATCTACCAGTGCTGACATGGAAATTATTGTATGTATATACTGTTTTTAATTGTTCAGGTTGAAGACACAACTATGATTTACATCCCCCATGAATCTGCCCGGAAAACCCATGATGACGAGCCTAAATATGTGCGACTTTTTCAGAACATTGATCTCTCTTCTAACTTCTACTTCAGGTTAGTGATCTTGCTATGTACAATCCAAAACTATAGGAATTAAGTAAGTCAAGTCCATATTAGACAAAACAATTTTCTAAAATGAACTGAAGAACATATGGGAAAAATAGTGCTGTGTTTCTCAGACCTCCAAAAATGCCAAACAAATTCTTTTAGGTCTTAACCCTTTCAGGGTCCGTCCCGTAGATCTACGGCTTTACGGTGAGTGTCCAAACCGTAGATCTACGCCATGAGCTCAGCTCACTCTGATAAACTGTGAGTGGTACATTTGGGCCTAGATATGAGAGAATACATCTATGTGGTATGTGTGCACCACATAAAACAGATCCTGCAGCACACTGTGTATGAGAGAAAAAAACTGAAATCATGATTTTTCGATTGAAACAGCAACTTTGCAGTGTTTTTTTTGTATGTTTTTATAGTTGTATTTGCGATTTCTTGGTCTCATTTGATAGAATGGAAGACATATTACAGAAATAGAGATGATTTTGATTGGTTTTAGCACAGGAAATGGCTTGAAACTGAGCTCAAAGTAGCGGAAATGTTAAATTTTTGCCGATATTCAAGAGTAAACAAACGACCTCACACGTCTAATACACGTCAGCTGGTGGGTCTAATATACATTCACAAATATGGTGATGATATTTATACAATTATTACAGTATTGCATAACAGTAAATCTTCTATTTTTTGGTGTGAATAAAAATTCATTATGTGAATCAAAAATCAAAATGGAATTTTTTTGTAAAGCCTCAAAACATAACTAATGAACAGAGGAATTGTTAGTTTAGTGCCAGGAATGCCTACATTGTTTATTCTGGACCCTATTTTGAAATTGGAATATTTTGAACTTTGTGTTAAATTGGCCAAATTAACAATTTCCGATCACTTTATTTTGTAGTTGAAACAGTTGACTTGGTGATTTCTTGTGCTCAGTCGATAGAATGGAAGTAATACTAGTGAAATAGCTAAGAATTTGGTTGATTGGGAAATAATGTAATTGGCCTAAAATGAGAGTCAAAGTCGGCAAAATCGCCGATTCGTAAATATCGCTGACACATCAAAATTCGCGAGAGCATAATTTCGTCAATTTTCCACCAAATTTCGTACTTTTTGTTTTATTACCTTCACAAAAAGATTCTCTATGATTTCATAAGAAAAAATAACAATTTTTTTTTTTTTGAAAATTCTTGGACACTGGTGCGTGACTCCAGATTTGGGCCTTGGACCCTGAAAGGGTTAAAATTGTAAAAAAAAAAAAAAAAGTTGTAACTGTGCAGTTGTAGGTGGATGCAGTGATATGCTACTTTTAAAACCCTTTCAGGGTCCAGAGGCCAAATTTCAAAGTGCACACCAGGGTCCAAGAATTTAAAAAAAAAAATTTGTTATTTTTTTCTTATGAAATGGTAGAGAATCTTTGTTCTGAAGGTAATAAAACAAAAAGTATGAAATTTGATGGAAAATTTATGAAATTATGCTCTCACGAATTTTGATGTGTCAGCGATATTTACGAATCGGCGATATTGCCATCTTTGACTCCCATTTTAGGCCAATTACATTATTCCAGTCGACCAAATTCTTAGCTAATTTCACTAGAAATTACTTCTATTCTATCGATTGAGCACAATAAATCGCCCAGTCAACTGTTTCAACTACAAAATAAAGTGATTGGAAATGGTAATTTGGCCAATTTAACACAAAGTTTAGAATATCCAATTTCAAAATAGGGTCCAGAATAAACAATGTAGGTATTCCTGGCACTAAACTAACATTTCCTCTGTTCATTAGTTATGTTTTGAGGCTTTACAAATGAATTCCATTTTGATTTTTTTATTCACATAATGAATTTTTATTCAAACCAAAAAATAGAAGATTTACTGTTATGCAATATTGTAATAATTGTATAAATATCATCACCACATTTGTGAATGTATATTAGACCCACCAGCTGGTGTGTATTAGACGTGTGAGTCGTTTGTTTTCTCTTGAACATCAACAAAAATTTAACATTTCTGCTACTTTGAGCTCAGTTTCAAGCCATTTCCAGTCAAATCAAATCATCACTATTTCTGTAATATATCTTCCATTCTATCAAATGAGACCAAGAAATCGCAAATACAACTATAAAAAACATACGGAAAAACACTGCAAAGTTGCTGTTTTAATCGAAAATCACGGTCTCAGTTTTTTTCTCTCATTATATACTGTGTGCTGCAGGATTTGTTTTATGTGGTGCACACATACCACATAGATGTATTCTCTCATATCTAGGCCCAAATTTACCACTCACAGCTTATCAGAGTGAGCTGAGCTCATGGCATAGATCTATGGTTTGGACCCTCAACGTAAATCCATAGATCTGCGGCATGGACCCTGAAAGGGTTTTAATACAGTATGTATGGCTACAAAAGTTACATAAATAATATTTCTTGCCTTCAATTCTTGGTGCTGGAGTATGTCTGTTTTGAAAGGAGTGGACTGGGCTTAGGTGGAAGGGTGTTGATCATTGGCTGAAATGGATATCTGAGGGTCCTGCATTGAAGTCGATGGTTATACTAGAGTACTGAGGAATTTTGTAATATATCTTTTTGTCTGTTTTAACCCTGCAGTTCAAAAAACTGCAGATTTATCAGTAATATGGAACTGTTTACATCACTGTTGCCATGCGAACTGTTTCTCTGCGGGTTCTTCTTTCTCATTCTTGTCTGTTATCTTCTCTTGTATACAGTTATTGCACTCTGCCAACATTTCCTCTGGACTTCTTTCTTCCTCATCATTTAACTTTTCATTTGCTTATTCTTCGTGCATATTTTCAAAGCCCACACATGGCAATATTCTTACCAGTTGAACAGTTTCTTGGACATAGCTCTGAGCTGAGGAAATATCTACGAAATTATTCTCCACACTAGGCCATAATTTTCCCCCAGCCTCTTTAAACCTTTCAGGGTCCAGAGGCCAAATTTCAAAGTGTGCACCAGGGTCCCAAGAATTTTCAATTTTTTTTTTTTTTTTTCTTGTGAAATGGTAGAGAATCTTTTTCTGAAGGTAATAAAGTAAAAAGTATGAAATTTAATGGAAAATTGACGAAATTATGCTCTCCGCGAATTTTGATGTGTCAGCAATATTTACAATTGGCGATTTTGCAGACTTTAACTTCCATTTTAGGCCAGTTACATTATTCCAGTTGACCAAATTCTTAGCTATTTCACTAGTTTACTTCTATTCTATCGATTGAGCACAAGAAAATCACCAAGTCAACTGTTTCAACTACAAAATAAAGTGATCGGAAATCTTGTAATTTGGCCAATTTAACACAAAGTTCAAAATACTCCAATTTCAAAATAGGATCCAGAGTAAACAATGTAGTGTATTCCTGGTGCTAAAAATAACATTTCCTCTGCTCATTAGTTACGTTTTGAGGCTTTACAAATGAATTCCATTTTTATTTTTTATTTGAATAATGAATTTTTATTCAAACCAAAAAATAGAAGATTACTGTTATGCAATATTGAAAAAATTGTATAAATATCATCACCACATTTGTGAAATTTATATTAACCCCACCAGGGCGTTATAGAATTGGGGTCATTTGTTTCCCTTTTTTAACTTGGGCAAAAATTTAACATTTCCGCTACTTTGGGTCAGTTTTCAAGCCATTTTCAGTGCTAAAACCAACAAAATCATCTATTTCTGTAATATGTCTTCCCTTTCTATCAAATAAACCCAAGAAATCGAAAAAAACAACTAAAAAAATATACAAAGTGCCCGTTTTAAACGAAAACACGGTTCGTTTTTTTTTTTTAAACACTGTGTCGCAGGATTTGTTTTTAATGGGGAACTACCACATAGATGTATTCTCTCATACTAGTCCCAAAATTTACCCCTCACGCTTACGTTGAACTGAGTCCCTGGGTAATCTACGGTTTGGGCCCGAACTAAAGCTGTAGTCTACGGCACGGACCCGAAAGGTTTAAAATTGATTGACATAGTGTGATTGCAATGTTTTTAAATTTAAATCAAAAAATTTTTTTACTCAAAGTTTTGAGTCAGTGTTCATTGCTGCAGTAGGTTTTTGCATCATTTTCCTGTTTTTACACAAAAAAACTGTTCAAATTCTGTTTTTATGAACATTTCTGTTTTTTATACTGTTGAAAGGATAATGTGTTTTCAATTTTTTTATTATAAGTAATATAATTTTATGCAAAAGCCTTTCTTTGCAGTTACAGCTATGATCTTTCTCACAGCCTACAGTATAATATGGCCCCCCTACAGATATAAACCCCTTGAGTTGCTTGAAAACTGCAAAAAATCGCATCTACTGGGAAGACTTTAGTTTAATGGTTGGGGAAAAAGGAAGTGTTCTATGGGAAGTGACATGCTGCTAGTGACTGATTTATTGCGGTCTTCTTTGTTATGAAAAAAACGCTAATTTTTATTATTTTTTATTTAAAATATCGGGCCCCGCCCCCTTTGGGTAATAGTTTTGGTAATTTGCACCCCCTCCTATTTTCCAAAAATGGAAACTCTGCATTATATTACACCACACATTGCCCCCGGACAGAATCTCGCTGCCTCCAGCCCCCTCCCATTGCAACTTCACCCCTAAGCTTCCCCCCCATATAGGAGGTTTGTATAAAAACTCTCAAAATTCCCCCCTTTGCTTCCCCGGCAAAGTTCTTTATTTTTTTTCCCCCAAAATCATTATGCACCACTCACCCTTTTCCCCTCATCAATTCTATGATTCACCTCATCCTTCATAGACCCATCCGCTGACACGTCCACTCCTAAATAAATGAATACATTCACCTCCTCCCATACTCTCTCCCTCCAGTCTGATATTCAATCTTTCATCACTTAATCTTTCTGTTATCCTGATCACCTTACTCTTTCCTATATTCACTTTTAATTTTCTTCTTTTACATCCCCTACCAAATTCATCCACCAACCTCTGCAACTTCTCTTCAGAATCTCCCAAGAGCACAGTGTCATCAGCAAAGAGC